TCAAAATGGAATCGATAGAATCAGGAAAGCATAGCTTTTACAGCATATCTCTAACATGAGTATCACGAGACAAGAGCTTAGATGACAAGTCAAGGCTCTAATTTACTCGATAACACCTCTGCAATATGCAACAAAAGAAGAGGGCTCGATAACACAATGAGAGAGTTCCAACATCCACGTCAATTTCTCACAGAGTAACACACAACAAGAATCAATAATATACATACCCCAAACACCGAATTTCAAATCAACGAACACGAAATTAAATCCAACGAATTCAACACAAGCACCAAAAATTGAAGGAAGTTCGTTTAGTATACCTTCCTTCGGGAAATCCACTCACTCGAGATCTGAAAAAGATCGAATAAGAAGCCTCACACGTGATTCAGCTACAGGTTGCCCCTGAACGGCGCTGCTTCTCAATTCGGCGCACAGCTGTTCCGCTCATGACCTTCGGCCCTCGGTCTGCTCACGTGTAGGGCTGGTACGTGGAAGCCTAAACTCCCTGGCCTGCTCAAAGGCCATCACGTGGCGATGACGAGGCCGCTGCTGCTCGTCGAACGGAAGAGGTGGTGCTCAACCGCTTGGCCTTTTGCTGCCTCTATCCGATCGTCGATGGCGAGATGATGTTAATCGTGGGATCTCGGGGTGCTGCTTTGCGCTCCTCGCGTGGGTTGTGGTGGTCGCGTGAGTCCGTTGATTATCCACCAGCGAGAGAGGGCTGGCTGGGGCGAATGGAACGGCTGAGATGATGGTGATTATGGACGATGAATGATAGATACGGGGAGCGAGTTTTGTGATCAATGTATATTGTGGCGTGAAAAAGTGTGAGGGGTTGAGGGTTACAGCCTAGAAATAATGAAGAGCAAAATAACTCCTTCCTTGCTAGGTAAGGTTTTTTTATAATGAGAAAGATAAAATAAATAATTTCTCTTCCAATAGCTTAATGGCGTGAAAGGAATGGGCTGGAAATCCCAAAATTCAAACTCAATATGCATGGAATTATTTGATTTTAATCAATAAATTGGGAACCTAAATACACATATATGATTTAGGACAGTCATGCTAAGGAGCCAACAACCAATAGGACAGCTCCATGTGGGGCTATCCCACATAGCTCCAATGTGGGACAGCCCCACATGGAGCTGTCCCATTGGTTGTTGGCTCCATAACGGAGCCAACAGTTGGCTCCTTAGCATTATCGTGATTTAGGACTGCTCAAAATGATCATGAGTGGCCAAAACTTAGATTAGTTGGGGCTTAAAAAAATAAATAAAATAAACTCAATAATCGGTCTCATAGATATTCTAAGAAGTCGAGAAAAATGAATTCGATGATACTGAAATTGGACTTAAAATTATTCGCTTTCGCTAAACCAAAAATTTTAATAATTCAGTTTTTTTTTTAATTTAAATAGATAAAAATGTCCAAATAAATTATCGTACTCAAAATGATTAAATAGCCACTATCGTCTATATAATCTTAAAACTTGTCGAGCTCGAAAAATAAAATGCAAATAAATGCATAATATTATACATAATCGAGATGTCTGCTAAAATAAAATCGGGGCACTATACAAAAGGCTCGGTTTAAGTGGCTCGGAAAAATAACGAGAACGGCTCGATAAAAGCTTTACACGATTTAACCGAATAACCGAACAATTATCGATAATAACGAGCACATATAATAATAGATAATTATTTAATGCATAGGAACAATACAATAAAAATGCCGATAAATAAATAATCTGAAAATAAATCCATAATTCAAACAATTAAATTCGGTTTATGCGATCAAACTGAAATCGACGAACGACGAACGTTTAGAAAAATAAAACGAACAAGCACTTAAATATATTATTTAAGTACCAATAATGACGACATTAATAAGGAATATAGTAAAGCTTATATCAAATAAATAAAGTAGATAAATAGAATAATATGAGAAACTCTATAAATCGAACGGGGCGCTACAAATATGATATTTAGTTGGAAGAATAAATGGTTGACATCTGCAGGTAAGGATGTATTAATTAGAGTAGTACTCAATGCACTACTAGTATTTTCCATGTCTTGTTTTGTGATTCATGCAGGGCTATGTAGAGAATTTCTAGAGTCTGTGGTCAGTTTTGGTAGAGTAATGGAACTGAATTTCAGAGAGGACTGCATTGGGTGGAATGGAACAAACTATCAATGGCTAAGAAGCATGGAGGATTGGGATTTCAGGATATCTAGCTATTAATACAACCATGATTTCCAAACAGCTGCGGAAAATTGTCACTGAGCGATAGAGGTTGGTTAGTAAAGTGTTAAAATCTAAATATTTTCCTAATACCAATCTTTTTGAAGCACAGAGGAAGGAAAACTCTTCTTGGTTCTGGAATAGCTGGCTATTTGTCTTGAAGATATGTGGCAACTCGATGAGAGTTGAAGTGAACAATGGCCAAAGCATCTAGGTGTGGGATCAACACTGGATCCCAAAATTCATAGGTAAACTAGTGGAGCTGGGGCCAGTAACGGATAAGATGATTGTATAGGTTAGAGATTTAATGACAAGGGATGGCTGCAGGTGGGATGAGTACAAAGTTAGAGCAAGTTTTGCTCCTAAATTCTGCAATTCCATACTCAGTATAGATACAATTGATCCAACTAAGGAAGATACTTGGGCCTGGACTCTGAATAAAAAGGGCATGGTTTCAGTACAATCTACTTATGCTCAGCTTATTACTGAAAAATTCCTTAAGCAGGATAGAGCTAAAGGTAGCATGAGCTTAAATACAGATATCAGAGTTAGATCAAGGAGTTGGAAGT